GATTCGAGTGGTGCATTAAATTTGTCATTAGGCTCTGGAAATTACATCAAGTAGTGTTTCTCCTCTCTCCTCCGTAGATTTATCTTTTTAAATATTTAAACGTTCTAATTGGCTGACCGTCGGGCACTTGAGGCCTTCTGAGTCTGGCGCTCTGTGAACATTTTTGGTTGACATAGATAATTGTACTGCTTACGATTATGTTGCAGATTATGCGGCACACAACTGACAAATGTCTGGATTCTCCCCGCAGGGACGAAGAGTCATTGTCGAGCTTTCCCCGGGTGGGGGTGTGTGAACTATAATGAGTCAAAGTTGACTTTTCATTTCGGTCTTGTCAAGTGCTCGAGGCTTCTACATTTTTAAGATGCCATTCCACTGCCCTGTGACATAGTATATACTTACTACTTGAAGACCCCTCCACCCAGTTATTCGTCTTCCTCCTTCTCTGGGGGAGCTGTGACATTTTTTATGGCCTGTACTGATGTTTTGACCCAGTAATTTAATGATGCTAAATGGCGTGGCAGTTGATTGCCGGAACATGCGGGCGGGGTCTTTTGGGGTGGGAGGTGTGAGAAAGCTTCTTGAGTACAGCAAATGGCAGCAAATTCAATTTGTAGGTTGAGCTTTTGAGACACTACAAGTTGCTGACGAGGAGCGTTCTTACTCTGGTGTTTCCACACAAAGAAATTTTGGAAATAGGATAATTTAAAAATATTAATTTAGTAAAATTATTATCAAAAAATTGAGAACTTTATCGGGACTCGAGGTCATTTTTAGTTGGTTATAAAAAACTCAACAGTTTCTAGCATTTCAACACATTTGCACTCACTGGGGAGTGAACCTCGGACTTTCCGGGATTTGCAAATTTCAGTTAGGCGTCACCGCATCAGCCGGAGAAGAGGATATGAGCTGAGCGTCGAAACTTTTCTATACAGCACATCTAGGAGTATGTAATTAAGAATTACATACTTCTAGGATTGTGATATAATTAAACTTCTAATGTGTGTGAAAGCTATATTCGTTTTCTGTTTGGAAACAATTTTCCGAGTGAATAACAACAACTAATTACTTAATTGTTGAACTCGAACCTAAATATTTAACAATTTAAAAATTTTTCAGGATTTCCAAATTGAAGAGATTTTAATTTAATATGATTACTTTTAATTTATGATTTTTCTTCTCTCTATGCTAAAAATTTTTTTTTTATCCGTGTATCGTTTGAATCCTTATTTAAGTTTACGAAGACAAGAAAATTAAATTTGCTAGCCTTTCCTGGGTATGAAAACAAACAACATTAGCTCCTTTGGTTCTACTATTAAACCAATCTATTCCTATTCGCATTAGCCTGCGCAGTAAGCCTCAAATCCCAGCAGTTCTGCCAGCAAAAACCTCTCTAAGTCCCAACTCCATCACGTCCAGCCTTTCACACCAAAGGGACTTGGAAAAAGGAAGTAATCCATTCTGAGTGCAGTTTTCGATATCACTTTCCAGAGACAACTTCCTGCCGGGCCGGTCGCATCATCATCAAACAGAGCAGGGCCGAGGAGAAAAACTGTTGGCACTTTGCATACAAATGTGCTACCAAGCCGAACTTATCGCAACATTTTAATAACTGGCGGCAACAGTAGCCGACTGCAGATGGTGCAGAAGATCTGAGCCGGAGCTCGAGCTCTTGCTCGGGAGTCCAGTCAGCTTTCATTAATTACCAAGAAAAGCGAGTTTTCGGTTTGTTTTTGCTTTTTCCTGCCAGTCAAGAAGTCGCTTTCCTGCTGCTGCTAGTCGCGGCCAGTATTTTCCGCCAAACTGGCCAGCACGTCAACAGGTTGGGGGTTGGGCCCTAACTGGGCTCGCGAAACTGGCTTATATCCCTGGCTCTTATCTGGCCACCAGATCACGCAACATGCGCGTAATTTTATGAATGAAGTGTTCGCTGCCGGCCAGGATTCAGAATTTAGCTGGGGCCTAGGAAACTGGTCCGGGATCTGGCACTTAATTGCAATCGCACCTTAGCAGCAGCAGCAGTAACAGCAGCAGCGGCAACAGCAACAGCAACAAGTGCAGCATCAACAGGCCGCAGTTTGTCAGTCAGGTTAACAAATTGCGTTAAGACGGAGACCAGTTGTTCAACCGGTTTGCAGCACATCTGTGCTCGATTCTGGTGCACTTGTTGCATCAGCTTCATCATCATCAGCAACAGGAGCAACGCTGGAACAGCAGCAACTCCAGGAGGAGCACAGCAGCAGCATCACACACTTGCAGTTCGCTTATTAAATATGATTATGTGTTCGATTCTGCGTTGGTCTTCAAGATGGTCTTCCAGTGCCAGTTGAAGTAAGAGTACGAGTACCAGTACCAGGGTAAAAGTATGGATCGTCACAGGAAGTGAAGCCGCGCCAGGCGTCGTCACATTGGCGGCAGCCCCTTTTCCCCCAACCCATCCCCATCCCCTTCCCCTTCCCCACCCCTACCCACTTCGACTGCGACAACAACTGCTGCCCACATTTAATGAAGTTTTCCGTTTCGTGATGGTTCTCTTGACTTTCCAAGCCCGGCTAGATACCCTCACTGTGAGGCTGTGATGTCGGCAAGGGGAAAATTGATTTTCCCCAGAGGAAAGCATCTGCAAAACAATTGGCTAGGGCATTAGAAAGTCCTCCATTTTAGATCCCTTCCATTACTGGCAGTGCCTGCGCTAAGCTGCCAGGCAAAATAAAAATCCATTGGCCGTTCAAATGTTTTAATTAAAATTTAATGAATTCAGTGTACTTAATTATGCATTGTTGTTTTTTGCCCTTGCCGTTTGCAACTGGCACTCAGACGGGGTATGCTGAAAATTAAATTTAATTGTTTTATTTTTCTACCACTGCACTGAGTGGCAATCAAGGCGTATATGAGCCAGAAAAAGCTTTGAAATTTGCGGTGACAGGCGGTCCAAACATGGTAATTAAAATTGCATTTATATTAGAACTGATTTGATTATGGAAATATGTCAATAATGTTTATGAAGTTAGCTGGGAACCCAAACTGAAATTGCTGTTTTAATTAACAGGAATTGCGTTGAGCCATCAAATAAACAAATACGCAATTTAACTGTAATAATAAGCAATCTGAATTTAATAAAATACAGTATGCCCGAAACCTTGTGGAGTTTGTAAATCAATAAAATAAGTAAACAAATTATTTCACTGCAAACTAAAATATCAAAAGCCCAGAACCGAAACCCAAAATCGAATCCCAGCCAGTCAGCAAAGTGTAGCCAAACAAATGGCAGTTTCAGTTTTATTGACCTCAACCGGAGGTTGAAGCAACAATTAATGATAAAATGCTTTAGTTGGGAAAATGACTCCACATAGTTTTCAGTTTTTAGACCACCTGTCAGGCCCGCAGAACTCTGGAGGCTGTGAAAGCTGATTGCCCCTGACCACGTCCGCAATCCGTTAATTCCGTCTTTCAGAAATTAAAACAAGAAAGGAAGCTAGCTTCGGCCAGCCGAAGCTTATATACCCTTGCAGATCATTCCTATTAATTAACAAATCGCAAAAATGTTCAATTTTCTAAAATTTCTCATTAATTTTCCGATCGTTCCTATGGCAGCTATATGATATAGTCGTCCGATTTTGATCAAATTAAAATTGAAATTCGGAAATATTTAAAAAGAGTTATATCCTAGAGTAGAAGATAATACAATAAAAACCAAAGAAGCTAGAATTTATTTCCTAGTACTTTTCCATTAATTTTCCGATCGTTCCTATGGCAGCTATATGATATAGTAGTCCGATTTTTTAAATAATTAATTCGAAATTCAGAAATATTTAAAAAATAACATCCCCAAAAGTAGAAGGTAATATTTCAAAAAACACCGAAGCTAGAATTTTTTAAAGTTTTTTTCTTCCGATCCTTCCTATGGGAGCTATAAGATATAGTTGTCCGATCCGGTCGGCTCCGACATATATACTACCTGCAATAGAAAGAAGACTTTTGCGAAAGTTTCGTCCCGATAGCTCAAAAACTGAGAGACTAGTTTGCGTAGAAACAGACAGACGGACAGACGGACAGACGGTCAGACGGACAGACGGACAGACGGACAGACGGACGGACAGACGGACAGACGGACAGACGGACAGACGGACATGGCTAGATCGACTCGTCTTGTGATGCTGATCAAGAATATATATACTTTATGGGGTCGGAAACGTCTCCTTCACTGCGTTGCAAACTTCTGACTGAAATCATAATACCCTCTGCAAGGGTATAAATATGTATTATTAAATATTCCATTAATTTGGCCGGGCGGCGTAGCTATTAATTAATAAAACTTCCTAGCAAAATGCCGCCACTTTGTCTGGCCCCAAAAAATATAGAATCAATTAGGCGGCATTTAAGGTGCAAGTCGGCACGCCCACCAGGAGAAAGCCTCCGGGCGAAAAGAAAGAAGAATGATGACTGAAGTCAGAGCGCTGATTGATGACACTGGACATATTTCTGACTTGGGTGAATCTTTAAAGAGATTCTGAGTAGGGGAATCGGGGAATTTAATTTTAATACCGCTTGAGAATTAGCCTTAAATCGTTATAATGAAGAAAAGGTGCTTTTTGTTATTGAAAATAATCAGTACCTTAAGGGGTTCCTTGAACCATTGCCATTGTACCCTCGCATATAGGTCCCCCTTTTCTCGACATACTGGACATATCTCTGACTTGGGTAAATTTTTTAAAGAGATTCTGAGTAGTGGGGACGGGAATATAAGTTAATAATTGCTTGATAATTAGCCTATAATCTTTATAAGAAATAGATGTGTTTGTATTGTTCCTTCCAAATATTTTATACCTTCCTATTTAGGCCCCCCTTTTTTCGCAATAGAAAGAACATTATTTTAATTTGAAAAATTTGTAATTTTATTCAAATGTTTCTTTTTGTTTGAAGATACAAAAATTTGTTGTATTTTTTGTCGTTTTTTTTGCTAAAATATAATGCGAAAAAACGGTAAATCTACACCGTTTTTTCGCATTTTATATTTTAAATATTACATTTAAATATTTACTTTAATTAAAGAATTTTTATTTTATACACGTATTTAGCTCGCTTCTTGTCCTTCCTTCATTAATTTAATTTAAATGCAAATGCGGTTGAAGTCTAATTTATAATTAACATGTTTATTGAATTTGTATTTATAGAGTTCTTTAGCATAATTTTTGGCGCTCTCGCGTGCATGCATCAACTTCTTTACCATGTATATAATTATTGTCATGCATGATAAAAAGAAAGTCGCTGAATGCTGTAAATATTTATTTTGAATATATTTATGTCTCGATTCTTAGGTCTAGCAAAAGTCACGCTTAAAAATATTTATGTAATTGAAGTCGCTATTTCGGTTTGGTGATTTCGAATCGGGGTTCGTTGAAAGTCGAACGCTTACGCTTTTCGGGCCTGGTGTGTATATCCATTAATGTTTATGTTTATAGTACGTATGTTGATAAATATTGGTATGTCCGATAGCTTAAACTTGAACAACTGCTAATGAGAATGAGTCACGACTCGCCAGACTCGTAATATATTTAGGCTAAATGCTAAAATGCGTAATTCCTACTACTTAATATCGAGGGACCTTACTACGAATTAATATTTTGAGAGTGTTCTGTTGTTCCTTCCCCCTATTTGTTCGGTTTTCTTTTGTTTTGTGGTGTCTACTAAATGCTGCTGCTTCTGCCGATGTTCGGGTTGTGGTGGACTAAAAGTGGGTGGAGGGCAGGCATTTCTGTAGAACGGGTTGCGCACCTGCCCCGTGGCCAGACCAATATCCCATATCCCGGGCCCCCGAAGTGAACGGGGCTTTTCGGGGGCCCCGAATCGTTTGGTCTTGATGGCGAACGTTTGGCCTGCGTGTTTCCATCTCCGTGTTGCGGTGGTGCCAACGTCTCCAGAGCTTTGGGCACAGGTACTTATCACAGCCTTCGAGCGCCGCATGCAAATGTCTTTTCTCAAAACACACTCAACATGGTTTCTCCATTTGCGCTCCGTAATAATCAACGTCATATAGTAATAATTACAAACGTAAAATAAAAATAAGAATTCAATAAAACCAACAGCAACGGCCAACAACCAATCGTAACCAAAAGACAGTCCAGTTCAAATGTGTGTGGTGTGTGTGCCTTGCCTTTCGTGTTTTCGATGGTGATTATGAATGATGTATGTCAATCAGTCTAGCTGGGTTCGGCTGGCTTGGGTTGGGTTGTCTGTGGCTGTCATTGACGCTCAGCACGGCTTAGTAAGTCTGCGGATGAGAAGAACAGGGCAGGTGGAGAGGTTGTTAGAAATGCGATAAATACAGGTTGTTTCTAACAAGCTGTGAATGACTGGGGAGTGGGAAAATCTCGAGATTGATCTGGATTTGGTCTACCCATTTCGAAATATTTGGGTCTGATAATTATCACAAAGTTAAGGCGAAAAATGTTAATACTCCAGATTTCCCCTATTATATATATTTTAAATATTTTTTCAACTTACCACCGGCGGATAGGACATGTACTTGTCGCTCATATTGAAGTACGATCCATCTGCTGGCGGCGCGGGCGATGGCGAGGATATATAGCTGCCCTTGATGACCAGCGAGGAGGCGGGCGACGGCGATGGTATGTAGAGGCCGTTGGAGATCAGCATGTGATCGTCCTTGGAGCGCATCTGCATGCCCTCGATCATTCCCGTGGCACTGTTCCGCTGGCTGTGCCTCTTGGGATTCGGCAGTGTGCGGGTGAAGTCCGGATTGCACAGCGGATACGGCGGGGTGCACATGGAGCTCTCCTGGTACTTCGGCGGATACGCCGTCGACTGGATAATGTCCACGTTCTCCACGAGATATGTGGAGGCGGCCGCCTTCTTCTGCACATCCGCCTGCAAAGCAGTGATGGGCAGCTGGTTAGGATTTTGGAATTCGGGAACAGTTGGTTAGATCTCGTTAGCGGGTTAATAGAGCGATCCTCTTACCTTATAGACCGACTGGCTGTCGTCCTTGGAGTACACGTCATCGTTGCTGGGCTCCGCCTCGCTCTGGGATTTGTTCTGCCGGCGAATCACGAACCAGGCCACCAGGGCAGCATTCAGGACCAACAGGACCATGGCGGCCGAGGTGATCCCTATGATCATCACATTGGGCAGCTCGTCCTTTTCGGTGTACTCCGCCGAGTGGGGCTGCGAGCCCTTGCTCAGGGTCAACTTGATGTCCGGCATGAACTTACTGCCGCCCGCCTCGTTGGCCGCCATCACGGAGAAGTAGTACGTGGCTCCGGGCTTCAGGCCATCCAGGGATATGTTCTGGTGCCCAGGCTTGGCGTCCACATACTTGTACTTATCCTCGCCCTGCTGTTTGAGCCGCAGTCGGAAGTAGGTCTGCATGCCGCCGTCAAAGCCGGGCGTCCAGTTTAGCTCCACCCCCGAGTCGCTCACATTGCCCACCCTTAGCTGCAGCGGAGTATCCGGCCGCGAGGGCTTGCTGAACTCCAGGGTGGTGCTGGCCTGCCCCAGAGCATTTCGCACCACGCACTCGTACTGCCCGTAGTCATCCGCCGAGGTGTTCTCGATCAGCAGGGCCGACTCATAGTTGAGAGCGTCCACCTGGCGCTCCACAGTCTTGAACTTGTTGCGTCGCTGCATCTTGAGATCCTTGCCATTTCGACGCCAGATGAAACTGGGCTGCGGAGAGGCCAGGGAACGGCAAATCAGCTGGGCTCGAACTCCCAAACGGGCGGCATAGCGGGTGAAGCCGGGCGAATGGTCGATTTCGGGGGCAGCTGGTAGGTGAAAATTAATCAAATAAAGTTTAATTAATACTTAATTAATACTAATGCAATGATAAAAAACCGTATTTTTTCATTTTAAATTTGTTTTGTATTGTCTTTTATGCATTGCGGTTTTTATTAATTTTAATATGAAACTATTTTTTTTATGACGTATATATGACCCACATTGTTTTCAATACTTTATAACTTAATTCTAATATTTTCAAAACAAATCATGCAATTTAACAATGCATTGTTTGTTTAATTTAATACGATTTAATATCTTTATACTTACTTTGCACCACCAGGAGTACATTTTGCGCCGCGGGAGCCCCCCTTTGGTTGTCCACAATGCAGGTGAAGTTGCCAATGTCACTGCGCTCCACACTGGCGATCTGCAGCAGGGCGGTTCCGTTCTCGAAACTGGAGATGGTGCGGGAGGCGAGGTCGTAGCCGTCGCGGGACCACCGCACATGGGCGGCCTCTAGCGGACGGGCCTGAATGTGGCAGGCCAGCACGGCCGGTTCGCCGGCCACAAAGCTGCGACCCTCACTAACCGCTGTGATTGTGGGGGCATCTGTATGAAAACGAAATCGGGAGAAACAGTCAGTTCCGTCGTTTTGGGGGTCAGCCTTCGAGTCCACTACTCACATTCGACGGCCACTTGGACCTCCAGCAGCGCGGTGCCCTGGCTATTCAGAGCCTCGCATATGTAGACACCCGCATCGTTGCGACTGAGACGACTGATATTGAGACGCGGTCCGTCGGAGATCAAACGCTGGCCGCTCAGACTGTTGCTGCTAATGGGCAGGCCGTCCTTGGTCCAGGTGTAGCTAATTACCATGGGGTTTCCGCTGGCCATCAGCTCCACATGGAAAGGCGCCCCCTCAACGCCCACGAAGGTGGTGCTCTGCGAGGTCTCGAACTTGGGGGGATCTAAGGGATTCAACAGGGGTGTGTTGCTAAGTTAGGAAGGCCACACATTATTTCTACCTCTAGCACTTACAAAGTATGTCCAAGCTGATGGTCTCGTGAACGCTGCGCTGCAGAACCTCGTTGTGACTCTGGCAAGTGTAGATGATGCCATCCAGATCTTGGGTTATGTTCACGTACATCTCCAGTGTCGACACCGAACCTCCCCAGAGACCGGGACGATTGGCCAGGTTGAGTCCCTCGACGGGAATGCCGTCCTTCCACCAACTGATCTTGGCCGGGGGATTACTGGAGCTGGAGTCGCAGACCAGCTTGGCTCGAATACCGGGCACCAGATTTTTGGGCACCACACTGATCTTTACAGTTTCGGGGGGAACTAAGTTGGGATAACCCTGTAAGTTGGTTTTCCCAAGCAAAAACTAGTACTATTTCTACTTACAATGAACTCCCAATGTCTTGGTGGCGAAAAGAGGTATGTCAATGGCTGCGTTCTGAACCTTGCACTTGTAGATGGCATTGTTGTCGGAGGCGTTGACCAGAAGCGAAAGTTCAGAGGTGATTTTGCTGTCCACCAATTTGGAGGGAGCATTGATTATCTTATCGTTCTTGTACCACTGCAAAGTGGGTGGGGGATTGCCACCGGCGGAGCTGCACTGCAGTTTCAATATAGATCCAGAGATGATAATATCACCATCATTATAGCCTGTCAGCAGGGGCGGCGAAGGGGGATCTGCAGAAGGGGAATTCAAAATGCAATTTTAATTTAATTATACCTCTCAAGTGGTGAACCATTTTGCTAATATGATCAGGGGGTAGTAAGAGGGTAACCCTTCGTGAACTTACACAGCACATTCACGGTGTGTGAGCCCACCACATTCTGTGTGAGTTCCGTGTTGAGGGCATGGCAAACGGCGATGAAGGTCCTGCTCTGCGAGTCGATGGTCAAGCTGATGTTCGAGCTGCTCACCCAGCCGCCGTCGGAGCTACTGGTGGTCTTATAGGTGCTGTTCTCCATCGGTCGTCCATTTATGGACCAGCTGATGCGGGCCTGGGGATTCGAGGGGGCAGTCACGCAGCTCAGCTGCACGGAATCGCCGACCTTGGCCTGGTTGGCGCCGCTTAGATAAACGTCCTTGGGGGCGTCTGTACAGGAAATTAAGGTTTACATTGGTCATTCTTGGTAAACAATATATTTTTTCATTGAAACAAATATTAAATACAAATGTTTATTCATTCGCCCATTTTTTGGTTGATTTCTGTAGAGTAAATAAACTTACACAGGACAGTCAGATTGAGTTCGGCGCGCAGGGGAGTTGTCGCCAGCAGATTCTTGGCCTCGCACACCAAATTAGCCCCATTGTCCTCGGCGGCGGCGGTGAACTTGTAAACGTTTTCCGACAGACGGCCCGAGGTGCGTTGCGGCGAACTGACGGCCACGCCATTCCGGTACCAGCTCAATTGGGCCGGGGGATTCCCGCCACGGCTGCGGCAGGCGATTTGAACTTCCTGGCCGCGATGCAGGGATTCGCCCTGGCCGTAGCCCTCGAAGAATGGAGCACCGGGCGGATCTAAAGGGGCGGGGATGGGGGATTAGGAACTTTGCCGGCACAAAGGGCCATCCAGGATGCACTTACAGAGCACGGAGAGCTGCACCTGGGCGCGCATCGGGACATCGGGGGGCAGGGCCTTGTGCCTCGCCTCGCAGGAGAACTCCTTGTAATCGTCCTCGGCACGGGGCTGCAGGTGCAGCGTGGAGCTAGTTGTGAAGCGCTTCGGGGCAGTTTGATTCACCGAGACAATGGGGACTGCATGGGGAGAAAATAGCACCAAGATTGGTAACAGGTTTGATATTAAATTAATTAATTAACCAATTGATTTTCATGTAAAAATTCTAAATAAATATTTAAACTTGGTTTTAAAATATCCTAAAGTTTTATTTAGTTACTATCTATTAAACATTGTTGAAACTCACCCGTGCTAACTGGAACCTCGCCCTGGAACCAGACAATCTCCGCCGCCGGATTGGCGTTCTCGGCGATGCAGTGCAGCGTGAGGTTCTGGCGCTCCTCCACCTCCACTCGGGCATTCCGGGCATAGCCCTCGATAACGATGCTGCTGGGGGCAGCCACTATGCTCAGCTTGGCATTGGCCCGGATGGCCGGGTTTCCAGCGGCCGGACCCACCTGGCACTGGTATTCCGCATCGTCCTCGAGAGTGGCGTTCTTGATCTGCAGATTGTAGGCATTCTGTTTGGCATCCACCAGCACCGAGTAGCGGGGGAATCCGGGAATAACAGCCGAGAAGCCCAGCGCGAAGCCGTCCTTGGTCCACTGAACCTTGCCAGCCCGGTTGGACACCTCGCAGCGGAGGAGGGTGTCGGTGCCCTCGAGTATTTGCAGATCGTGTGGCGTTAGTCGGAACTTTTGCACGGACGGGGAGGCCACCTGAACGGCCGGAGTTGGAGCCGTAACTGCAGCCATTCCGTGGCAGATGGTGGCAGCTGCACAGAGAGAAAAAAAGAGATTTTTAGTTAGTGATTTTGTGATTAAAATGATTTTTCCTAGCAATTGAAATGGTAAAGATTGTTGCAAATACTGAGGTAATGGCCCAAACAAATCCCGTCTTATTTTTTAAGTTTAAGACATCTTTTTGATATAAATATAACAATTTATTTAAACTTCAGAAGTAATACTTTAACAGCTTCCCCTCCTCATCGATTAATTTGATGACATTTCTCCCCGTGTAAAATAAAACGAGATGGAAAGGAAATTCGCATGGTTAATCGGCACGTTCGGCATTTGGGCACGTAGTTTGCCAAGTGCACCGGCAATGGGAACAGTTCAATTGGCATCGAATCGACATGGATGTCGACCTGTCAGGGCCCAGAGTTTGAATCGGAATCGGAATGGTAGTCGTAGTCGTAAACGGAGTCGCAGTCGGAGTCACAGTCAGAGTCAGATGGCCATGGTTACCCAGTTTTACAGCCCACACATAAAATACACATTACTTAAGCGTAAGCCCCGACGACGTCGCTCAGTCACATCGCACTAATTTGGAACAACTTCTTTTTTTCCGATTCCGATTCAGTTCGATTCGAATTGTTTCGTTCGTTTCCTTTCCGCTCACATGTGTCAGCCGGGGAACTCAACTCTCAGGCTGTCATTGAGACATGGATGTATATCTGTCCGTCGATATCCATCGGTCTTCTCTGTTCTCCGCACAGTCCGTTTGGCGCTGGATCGGCCCACACCTAGCCCAAAGTAGGTCTACATCCACAGCTTGCGGCTCATTAGCATTAAAATGTCTTAAAGAAACGACCCGGCCACGTTCGATACCAAATTGAACGGCCTACTCACTCGGGGATTGTGTGTGTTTCCATGCTTTTATATCCATCAGTTCGTGTGTGTGTGCTTGGGTGTTTGTCGCCGACCTAATCAGCATTAGAGCAATCTACATAGGTATATAAAAGCATTGACAACTCACGCACACTGTCACCGGTCTTGTGGGAAATCGGAACGGAACGTAAATGATGTGTGGGTGCCGGAGAAAGTTCCATTTTTGGGCCCTGGTCAGGCAGTTAAATGGGAGATTATTATAATAACCTGCTGGCAAATAATGCGCGATTAATCATTTCTCGAGTCTTATAAATTAGCCAGCTAAAGACAACTGTCGCCTTATCTGCGATAAATAATTCTCGCCCAGCTTCGACTAATGAATTAGCCATTTATCAAGCGCAAATCTCTAATAACATTCTTAATTCCGCCCCGATCGAAACGAGTTTAATTTCTAATTTATTTTCAGCGAGCCCATTGCTCAATTAAACTGGTTTCGGTGCCACTGTGCGCTGCGTGAGTCGTGGCCACAAATGGCTGGACAAATAAACAAAACAAACATTTATGTCGTGGACTTCATCAGCGGATTAATTGATTATTTGTCTGGGAAGACAGCGGACAAGATGGTCTTGAAAGAAGAAGTCGGTGGTTAAGGAAAAGCGGATATGAATTGGTCAGGGCGGAAATGGGAAAATGTGGCCAATGCCCAATGGCCAATGGCCAAGGGGCCACCCACAGGCGAAGTTAGTCATTCGTTTTGAGGGCACCTCGATTTGCATTCGCCCCTGCCATTCTGCCGCTCAGCCGGCCAAAGTTCAAGCAATTAAGCCAAGCGACAGTTGACCAACTCGGCACTGCCAGAACATTTCCTGCGGCAATTAACCAGCGACGTCGACGACGACGAAAAAAGGCAACAAAAAACAGCACAACTTGACAGGTTTTTGCACTGACAATGACGACAAAAACAGAGAAAACTGAGACCCGGCCCACTGCAACTGCACAGAACAGAACAGAACAGCAGCGACATGCATACAACTCATTTAGTGTCATTACGGGAGGAAGACGGGAAGATGGGTAGATGGTTTTATGGCTATGACTCTGTGGGTTTACGGCCACGAGGGCAGCGAGACGGCGGCAGGAAAGCCACCCCGCTGGCACCAAGAAAAGACAATATGCAGAGGGTAATTGTCACACATATGCAAGCCAGTGCCAGGATGGCCAACAAAGAAATCCTTGAAGTGTGACAGTAGGAATAGGAAGCAAAGAACCCAAGAAGTAAGGAAAAGACTACAAAACACACACTCTGCTGAGTGAAGTAAGTGCAAAGTAAATGAAAGATGAGCAGCAGGCCAAAGGCCCAACCGGTTTAGCATTTCATTCATGGGTTTTCGACCAACCAGCCAGTCGGCCAGTCAGCCATCCGTCGTTCTGGCCACTGGACACTGGTCAGTGGAAGTTGGGGTGCCCAGGGGCAGCTGTAATTGTCAACGGGTCCCACAAATTGTACGCAAACTAAACTAACTGCTTAACCGCAGAGCGTACGTCCGTATTCGTATTCGATGATGATGATGATGATGATGATGTCGATCCGGGGCCCTGGGAGTCCTGGGAGTACATACTCGCAGTCCTTCTGGCCCCCGCCACTCTGGCTTTGCATGTGCCTGCGGCTGAGCCTATGCCAAAGTCGATTCCTGGCCGCAAGTTAAGTAAGTGTGCTGGCCTGCATTGGCCTCAAAAGCCTGCTAATAGTTTTCGAGCTCTGCAGGTCCAGGCCGAAGGACCCAGAGATGCCTGAATCCCTAAGTGACTCACGCAGGAAGCTTGGGCTGCATTTGGCTTGCATCAGTTGTGCTCCATTTTCACTGTCGCAGGGACTTGCTTTTTACAACGCCAGGGAAAACACAATCAACGGGATGTACTATTGTTTTATTTTAACCTTTATCTATAACCTCTTGCTCTGATAAGACTTTTTCTGAAATCGAGATCATAACTCAGGCTTTCAAACTCTATGCTCGTCATTAAGTTTCTTTTTTATAGAGTCATCTCTTCATTTGGCGTTAAAATTTTAAACTTAAAATTTGAACTTATAATAAAATATTTAATAAATGTAACTATTTTTACACACAAGAATAAACCTCTAACTACTAAAAAAAATTAATAAAAATCTTAAGAATATTTACTAAATACAAACATTTTTTTTTTTAAATATCTATAAACATTATAAAAAGAATAAATATTCTGATGTAAAATTTGGTAGCACCCAAGATGAAATCGCCAATAAGATGCTCGCTCATCTCTGGCGTAAGTTGTTACGTGTGGCAGTGGCAAGCGAAGCGCAACGCCGGATGTCGCACTAATGGTCAACGCAACGCACTCGAAGGTCCCGGCCCGTTTTAGCCCACTGCCATTCGATTTGGCCCTCTCGCTTGCTCTCCTGGCCACCGCCATCGACTTGGTGTATCGAGCCTAGATGCTGGCTGGCTGCTTTGTAAGTTAAACTATCTACAAGTCATTAACTCATACAAAGCCAGCAACTGTCGCAGAGGGTGAGGCTATAAGGCTGTGAGGCTGAGGGGCTGAGAGGCTTCGAGGCCCAGAGACACAATCCAGAATCGAGGGCCCAGCAGCCAGAATAGAGGATCCGGCTGGGCAAAGTGAAGTGGCCTGGACCAACGCACATTCGGCCTTTTGTTTTTCCTCTTTCGCTCCTTTTTTCCTGTGTTTTTTCCTTATCGAGACCAGTTTCCAGTTTATTCGCTCACGCTGCCACTTTCTGGTAACTCCAGCGCGTTAATGGAAAATATTGTGGCATATCACAGGAAATCCGGTGAGGTTTTTTTGTTTTTTTTTCGTCTTGTTTCGTTTGCTGTTGCTTTTGGTCGTCGTTGTTGTGGTGGTTGTATGGCTCTGTGCACACTCCTTTTAGCCGGCAGGACACTTAGCCGGCATCTACTCGCTTTGACAAAATTAACGGGCACATAAATCTCCTCTCCGGGTTTTGCGGCTTTGCGTTATAAATTTAATTAAATTCTTTTTTTTTGCGTTGTGTACTTTATCTGCGCCTGTTAACCATTTTTTGTTGGTTACTGGTCTCGCTAGCTGCTTGCTAACTTAACAAATGTCTTTTATTATATTGATTAAAGCGGCTTTGGTGCGTCAAATTTGTTGTCAGCCATGTTAAGCGCCGGCAAAGTGTTTCAAATTGTTTTAAATGGCAAGGGAAAGGATTTGGCTGCGGCCATAACAATTATTTTCCACATGTGCTGTGGACTGAGCTGCGGAGATACAGAGGCAGCGACTTATACTTGGCTAAATTGTGAGCCAAGCCGATTTTCTGCTGACACTTAAGCGGTTTTGAGCCACCCTAACTTCTCAGGCACTGCTGTCTGTTTTCATGGCGATATAAGCCACGGAATGGGGGTGTATAATTTAATTATTTTGAATTGAGAGTATTTCTGTTCAAGTTCCAGGAATTGATAGCTAAAGAGAAGACCATGCCAATTCCAGATTTCAAGATTGTCGCCTCAAAAGATCCCGACTTAAAACGAAAAACTCTTTCCTGCTCCAAGGAAAGTACCTCGAGTTATCTTCCCATCTTGCTGGAACCCAACATTTCGTGGCTTTGAGTCTTCCGCTTATGGCCAAGTTTATTGCTGACCCAGAACCGCCTTAATCATCGCTGGCAGCCCGCATACCCTTACTCGATTGTCACCGACCAGGCATTTAATGTGCGCCTTGGGCACGCTTAATAAATTCACAATAAAACGCATTTGAATCACGCGAATCGAGAGTGAGTGTGATGGTGATGCTGATGCGGTGGGTGGGGTGGGGATCAGGGGGCCTTAACGACCTCGAAATGTTTGTTTATTGTTGTTGGGGCCCCGAAACCCCCGAATTATCCTGCTGCTCGCAAATTGCCGCATTACCAAGTCTCTGTCTGGCTGCTCAGTGTGTGTTTGAGCACTGATTGAATTATAAAATTTGCAGCTGAACAAATGCGGCCCGGCCTGGCCAATATCAAATGCCATGAGCCGGCGATACGGACCCAGGCCTCATCGACGTTAAACTAATCAACTAATTTGCTATGAACTTTGCGGTCTGCACAAATTAGAGCGTCCAGAGCCAAAGCCATAGCCAGCCAGACCCACACCGATCCCATTTGGAGGCATTAACATTAATTATTTTCTGCTTCATGAGCATTTTAGATGAACGCCAGTTCTCGGGACCGGGACAGAGATGACCCCGGCTCTCAAGTGAAGACCCTCCCGCTTCGGGACTTTCATCTTTCGTTAATTAATACAAAAATGTTGCCCCCTCGGTCGTGTCAACTATTTTTTCGACTATGCCATAGAATATTTACGAAATTGTTGCCCCGCCGCAGCAGTAAATATTTTTCCATGCGAAATTGAAAGTATTTTGCGGGCTGGTCAGCTTGGATCTGAAAATCTGAATTTATTGCAAGGCAGGAATTCGTCAGGAATGTCAGCTAAAATGTTATGTTTAAGTTTGGCAACAATTTAAGGCTTTAATAAAACCGTGAGTCCGTGTTTTTTAAGCCATCAAAACCAGAAAAAAAAGGAACAAAGCCAATGAAAAACTATACATAAAAGCCCTGGCCGAAATTAAACAATTTTCGTTCAGGCGGGAAAAATAAAAATCAATTTTTCTCGATACCGACTATAATAAAAACGCAGAGAGAACAGTAATAGATTTGATGATTTTATGACTGTAAGCCACTCCGGTTGTCAGTCCGCCTGTCGTCCAACCAGTTTTGTCAACTGCCACATGCGTGGGTTAAGAGATTTTGAACACCCACAAAGCGGGGTGAGCAACAAAAAATGTACGAATTTTATTAGTCATAAATTGAAAATCATAAAACTCCCTAAGAGCACCTAGCGATGTAGTCTATGAAAATAAATTAGTCGGAGGAAGTGGAAAGTCTGAACGGGGGCTTCCTTAAAATATGCAAGAAAATATTATTTAGCTGAATCGTAAAACTTGGCGGGGTGATTTCCTGAAAATGGTTAAACTTTTGCTGCCAAGGAAAATTAATTTTTCTTCCTTGTGCCCAATATCCTGGAAAAGTTTCCAGATCTCAAAGCTCTAGGGAGCTGCCATTGGTGTTGGTCTCTTGTAGGCCGAACCCACAACTCCGAGCGGCTATTTGAATAAGAAATCTAGCTGGCCAGAGGTAGTAAAAAACGGTCCAGCAATAGACTCATAA